TCGTAGCCCTTGGAGTTAGAGAATCACTTCACCGGTGGCGGAGATAGTAGGAACTGCCGAAGTTGGAGAATCTGAGATAACAAGGTGTAGAGCTGGATGAACACAGCAGGCCAAGCAGTATCAGAGGTGCAGGAAAGCCGACGTTTCGGGCCTAGACCCTTCTTCAGAAAGGATCCTTTTTCTGAAGAAGGGTCTAGGCCCGAAACGTCAGCTTTCCTGCTCCTCTGATGGGGCTTGGCCTGCTGTGTTCATCCAGCTCTACACCTTGTTATCTCTACTTCATTGGTGGCCATGTCTTCCCCTAACTGGGCCAAAACTCTGGAGTTCACTTTCTGAACCCCTCTGCCTCTCTACCTCCCTTCCCTCCCTTAAAATGCACCTTAAAATCTACCTCTTCAATTAATCTTTTGGTCAAAAATAAACAAGGTAAATGCTGGAGAAACTCAGCAAGGCTGATAACATCTGCAGAGAGAGAAACAGCGTTAGCACTTTCAGTCCAGTATGATTCTTTAGAATCTTTTGGCCATCTTTCCAAATATCTCTTTATGCTGTATGGTAACAAATTCTGTTAGAAGAAAAATTTATTTTTTGAATTTGAGAACTTGCACTTTCTTTGGCTGGATAATAACATAAAATGTTTTCTATCAAACTACTTTCTACTGCTGTTCAAAAGTTGCCCTCATAAAGACACAGAGCCAAAAAAAGATGCATAGATATGAGCAATGAAGAAAGAAAAAAGAACTAGAACCAGCATGGCAAAGGAGACTGAGAAAGGAGGTGATATAACAGTAATAGAATTTTATAACACAGAAGTAGCCTTTTGTGCAACATCTTCGTACTAGCTTTCAAAAACAGTTATATATGTTTCGTTCGTTCATTCACCCACCTTTCCTTCAACACCTTTGGAAATTTTATAGCATTATTAACCAACTTTCTTTTTTACTGTAGATACTGTTTGTAGAAAAATAAAAGTATGGCTTTATAGGTCAACTGTAGACTGATTTATAAAATTATCACCAATGGGATAGTGCACTGGAAATCAAGCCCTGACATTTCCGGAGTCATCACAAAAGTTAAAAATTGTATCAAAGTATGCAAATTTCTCAAGTTACCTGTCAGATAGCCCCAGGATAACAGAAAACACAGTCCAGGTTTCTGTACTTAACAAGAACAATTACTTATTATGAATAAATACATTCTAATGACAGGTAAACAACCATGAACTCTCAACATATAACTTTACAAGTGAAAACTTTAACCTCTTTCTAAAACCCGCTACACACATGTACAGACAGACAAAAACATTGGTGTTATGGCTGGAAGGTAAAAGAAACACTATGGAAGCTGCTCAAAAGGCTAGTCCACAGGATTCACTGAGATAATCTTTTTGCTCACCAGGGCTATCTATTCTTCAGTCTCAGGATTGGACAGAATCAACATGGATTTAAGAATGGGAAATTGTGCTTGATGAGTCCACTGGAATTCTTCGAGGGTGGAACTAGTAGAGTTGATGAGGGACAACAGTGCGTGTGCTTTATTTAGATTTTCAGAAACCTTTTGACAAAGTCCCACATAAGAGATTACAGTGTAAAATTAAAGCACATGGGATTGAGAATGGTAATTAAATTGGATAGAAAATTTGTGAGCAAACAGGAAACAAAGATGAGGAATAAATGAGTCTTTTTCTGAATGGCTATTAATGGGGTGGTGCAGGAATTAGTGCTACGACCACAGCTATTCCCAATATATATTAATGATTTGGATGAGGGACTAAATGTAGTGTCTTCAAATTTGCAGATGACACAAAGCTGGGTGGAAGGGTGAGCTTGAGGAGGATGCAGCGATACTTCAGTGTGATTTGTACATACCAATTGAGATGATAAATGCATGGTTAAATGTTAGACTATCCACTTTGGAAGCAAAAACAGGACGGCGAATAATTATCTAAATGGCCATAAATTGAAAGAAAGGAATGTACAATGAGACCCGGGATGTCCTTATACACCAGTCGCTGAAGGTAAGCATGCAGGTGCAGCAGGTGATAAAGAAGCCAAATGGTATACCGGCCTTCGTTCCAAGTACAGGAGCAGGGATATTTTGCTGCTCCTTATCTGAGGAAGCGTATTCTTTCTATAAAGGGAGTGCTGCAAAGCTTTATCAGACAGATTCTTGGGATGCCAGGACTTGCATATGAGGAAAGGTTGAATTGGTTAGAATGATATTCGCTGAAATCCAAAAGAATGAGGGGATATGTCATAGAAGCTTTTAAAATTCTAAACACATTAGACAGAGGAGATGAAGGAAAGATGTTCCTGAAAGCAGTGGTGTCCAGAACCATGGGTCTAAGGATACAAGATAAACCATTTAGGACTGAAATGAAAAGAAATTTCTTCACCCAGAGGGTGCTGAACCTGTGGATTTCACTAACACAGAAAACAGTCGAGGCCAAAACATTATATGATTTCAAGAAGGAGTTGGATATAGCATTTGGGGCTAAAGGAATTAAAGAATATAGCGGAAAAGCAGGAACAGGCTATTGAGTTGGATGATTAAATATGGTCATAATGAATGGCTGAGCAGACTCAAAGGGCCAAATGGCCTACTCCTGCTCCTATTTTCTATGTTTCTGTCTTATTTCTTGCATTGCTTCGCAGGAGACATTGCTGATTGGTACATGAACTGCAGAGTCTGTTACTGGTTAAAGGCCACAGCTTACTGCAACTAGTGAGGGAAAATAAACTGGTTTTCTGCAGGCTTTAATTATTTTACTGGCGAGAAAGACATATGCCCTTGTGTCAGTCTAAGGGCTTCTGCTAGTATCATTCACAACCACAAGCTATTCATCTGTCCAGGAACTAATCAGGTAGCTATCAATCTGATGGCCTTTGGCATCCACAACTGGTCACAGTTCCATGAACCAATCAGCATCCTGTGATACAGTCACAGAGTCATTCAACACGGAAACAGACCCTTTGGCCCAACTCATCCATGCCGACCACGTTTCCTAAATTGAATTAGTCTCATCTACTTGCATTTGGTCCATATCCTTCTAAACCTTTCCTGTCTACATGCCTGTCCAAATGTCTTTTAAATGTTCTAATTGTACCCGCCTCTACCATTTTCTCTGGCAGCTTTTATACGCACCAACCTCTGTGAAAAAGTTGCCCATCAGGTCCTGTTTTAAACTTTCCCCTTTCACTTCAAACCTATGCCTGATAGTTTTGGACTCCCCTACCCTAGGGGACAAAAACCTTGGCTATTCACCTTACCTATGCCCCTCAGGATTTTAGGAACCTATTTAAAGTCACCCTTCAGCATCCTACACACCAGGGAAGAAAGCCCCAGCATATCCAGCCACTCCTTATAACTCAAACCTTCCAGTCTTTTTTGCACTCTTTCCAGTTTAATAACATCCTTCCTATAGCAGGGCAACCAGAATTGTATGCAGTCCTCCAAATGTGACCTCACCAATGTCTTGTTTGGCTGTCCTAACACATCATCCTAACTTCTGTACTCAGTGCTCTGACCGATGAAGGCCAGTGTGCCAAGTAACTTCTTCACCACCCTGTCTATCTGTGACACCACTTTCAAGGAACTATATACCTACACCCCTATGTT